TTGTTGTTGTTTTTGTTTTTGTTGTAGACGAAACATATAATGCTATAGAGATAACAAAGAGAAGAAAAAAACAACAACAACAGTAGCATTTTGATAAGTATTGAATTACAAATTACTTGAAATTTGGTAACTGCAACAGCAGCTTTTTTCTTGTTTTGTTTTGTTTTTAGTTGATTACGTTTAGTGAATACAGATTTACAGTTGATTTTCCTTAAAAACGTTATTCATAATTTAAGTTAAAAAAAAAAGATTGTTGAAGAAAAAAGAAGAAGACGGGGAAAAGGTAAAATAACATTTTTCAAATATTAGTATTGTCTTTTCTTTGATTGAACACAAAAACGTTTTGATTGAATTAATCAGTTAAATTTTAAGGCAAAAAAGAAAAAAGAAAATAAATAAAATTGAAAATATGTCATTAGTCCCTTAGAAAGAATTAAAAAAAGAAGAAGAAAGAAGTGAAAGCTAATTAAGAGGTATTTTTAGAAAGGCTATATAAAAAGAATAAACCTGAAATTTCTTTTAAAAAATTGCTGTTTCACGGGACGGGTAAAGGCAAATGGAAGTTAAATTAAGAAAGTTTTCGTTTTTTTTTTCTTCTCCTAAACAATATATCAGCTGAAATATTGATATTGAAAAAAATTAGCGAAAAAAAAGGATCTTATGTTTTGTTTAAAAAAGAAAAAAAAGGTTTCTAAAAGCTATTTTTGGATGTTCAATACGTTAAAAATCAGAATTTCTTTAGAGGCAAAAAAAAAAAGAATTTGCTCAATTGAAGGCAAAAAAGATGAGGAAAGGAAACTAATCGGAAGTTTAGTATTCTACTTTTTTTTTTTTTTATCTGTTTGTTTTAGAGGTTAAATTGTTAAACGACGACAGCAAAGCAAAATGTCGTCAACCGACAACAAAAACAGTTTTTGATTTTGTTTCGTCTTTCCTTCTTTTTTTTTTTTTATATGACGTTTAAGTCAATCAGAAAATGTCACTCAACTTTTGCGTATGGTGGATACAGTTATTGATAAGGGTTGAGATTGGCAAAAAAAAAGCAAAAAAAAAAAAAGAGCCAAATTTTTTGTTTATTTTTTAAGATTATGGACAGCATTTTTTGAAGTTATTGATCTTAAGAAACAAAAAAACATAAAGAAAAGGAATACCGAAAAAATCCAAGTTTGTTATTTTATGCATTTATTTACTTCTTTCCAACATCGAACTGTTAGATTTCAAAAAAAAAAAAAAAAAAA